CCACCAAGACACAAAGTCTGAAAAAAAGCATGAATTCTTAGAATGGCTCCAACCAGACACAAGGCCACAGTAAGACAAATGTTTTCTTAAATCTAGAACAAATATGTAAAAGGATTTCATCCAGTCACGGGACACAATGGTCAGAAGCAATGGTTTTGAATGCAGAGAGTTCAGAGGAATCAATTAACCTGCTTTCCTGAAACTGAGACTGACCCTGCCCGTGGATGATCAATTATTGAAATTGACAGCATGAAAGGAGTTTCTGAGGTTTTGAGGCACCTCAGCATTCAGGACGATTTTGATTTAGATCTGAGAATCCTTACAAGGACCATTCCTAGAATATTTCCTGTTGTTCTATATTTTTTATAAAGTCCTTGGCAATAACTAAGAACAAAACCACAGACACTGCAGGAAGATTGAGCGACACCGAGATACTGCTCGAAAGCACAATGCAACAAACATTTAGCCCAGCTTGCTCACTTGGTTAGCCCGGCTAGCTCAGTCAGTAGAGCATGAGATGTAGTACACTGATAAATTGGATTTTGACAAGTCAATTACTGCAGTTTACAGAAATACAGCAGCCTCTTATTTTCCAATTTTACACTGTAGGTAAAAATAACCATTTTTTCAAATGCAGCCTATAATCATTGTTGCACAGATTAGATGTGTGTATATCAGGCAGAATTAACCAGAATATTGTCAACCCATAGATTAGATTGAACTTGAATTGATCCCACACTGTAAAACTGTTCTTTGGAACAACAAAGGAAAAGAAGAAAAATAAATTGTACTAATAAAAACAACAGATTTTAAATGTAAAAAAAGGAATAACAATATAAATATATTGCAAAATATAATTCAAATTTTAAAATAAAAGTATAAAAATACTAAATAACTAAATATTTTGAGACATTTTAACTCCATTTACAGCTGTTGCAATCTGTATTATGGCCAATATATTTCCTAATATATATTTTTAGAAGTGAGTTCCTCAGTTTACTTCTTATGGTGTAAGTAATAAGGGATGAAGACTACTAATTGCTTACTTACTATGGCCTACAGCAGTGGTCAACAACCTTTTTTTGAGCCACGGACCAGTTAAATGTCTGTATTTTTTTTGATGATGTTAGATATGCATTCTTTCTGTGTAGCTCAGAAACAATTGGCCCGGGGGTTGGGGACCACTGGCCTACAGTCTTTTTATTCAAACTGAGAGAACTCAGCTTTGAAGCACAAAAAATCATTAATATCAATACAAGTTATTTAAAAAAAAAGTCTAGAAGGTCTAACAAACACAGAGAATGTATCGCTGAATAAAATACATTTTTACTAACGAGTGAGTTACCTGGTAGGAGACCAAGAGGAAGGCCAAAGAGGAGATATATAGATACAGTGAGGAAGGACATGCAGATAGTTGGAGTCAGAGTAGAAGATGCAGAGAACAGGGAGAGATGGTAATCAATGATTCACTGTGGCAACCCCTGAAAAAAAGGGACAAAGCCGAAAGAAAAAGAAGAAAACTAACGAGTGAGTAAATTCAAAGTACTATTTTGTTAGGTCTTTCCCCCAGAAGATATAATTAGTCTGCATCATCAGCATAGATGTGGATTGCACATTTTACAGCTGTTGCCAGGAAGCTAACAGAGGAACAACAATACAGAAGACAAGTCATGAACCAGTGGTGGTGGCAGATTAGGCACTTTTCTAAATCAAACAACACAAGAGCAAATTCAGCAGAATCTATTTCTATGACAAAATGAGGTTAAATTAGAGTGACATTTTTAGAATTTCAGGTGAATCTATTTTTTGGGTCAGAAAACATGTGGGCAAGAACAGCCCAAATGGATTTAGAGAAAAACAAAGAAAACTCATTCAGACAGAGAGAACATGCACAATAGCCATGGATAGAAATAATAAAGACCATAAAAAATTAAAAATAAAATAAAGTAATGTAGTAAAGCAGCTTGGTCATCAGTCTCATTATTTCAATATTGCTCACCTTCACATCAATTAGATACACATTTTAGCAGCAATGCTGTTGCATGAGAGGATACTCTAGTTTTCCAATGAGAATGCCTGTTGGATGCAGTCAGCTGTCCTGTGATTCCATAGCATTTTAATCATATTAGAACGAAATATGTCTTATAATGACTCCCTTTACAAAAAGCAGTGTGTTTATTTATTTATTTTACTGAGAATCCTAATGATTCACACTGGAGACAGGGCATCTTACTGAAAGTTTTAGACTTGCACACTCTTCACCCTCTCCACCCTGTGGCTTAGTTTCCTACTAATGCTATGTCATGATGTCTAGCAGCTCTTCACTTGCTGTGTGTGCATATGGTGGATTCCTATCAGCATTTCTAACACCACTGGCACAGCATTTCTCAATTAAAGGCTGACTCTGAAAGTGAACCAGCATTGCTTTAGTATCAGCTATGATTTCGGGGCGATCCATAGACTCCATACCAGTCATATATATATATTATTAATTAATTAATATATTCTAATAAAGCAACACGCACTTACCTCTGGTGGTCCACTCACCAGAGGTAAGTACTGTACGTGTTGCTTTAGGTTCATATAACAAAGCCTATGTAATTTGTCTCTTTCATCTGAGCCAGAGAAGGAAATGTAGAAAAGACAGAAAGCGGTTTGGTGTACATGACAAGTGGAGATGAAAAGGGTGCCTCCACTGTGGCTCCCATACTATCATATGTCTACAGACTTAATGGGTCTTGCTGCTATCAGCACCATCGCAGCTCCACTTCCTGTCAGGAGCAGGAACAAGCACAAACACAGCAGTCATTTGACATCACTTAAGTCAGGGGTGGCTCAGAGCAAAAGCAAGTCGCCAAAAAACGTATTCAGTGCTGCTTTGTTGATGCAACAGTTTGTTTCATAACTCTTTGGCCCACCAGCAGGCACCTGGGGTCAACAGATGTCATGAGCATAGAGGAAATCAGATGCAACCCAATCCGGTTGTCCTACCACTTAAACCATCGAACAAAACAGGCCCCACAGCTGCCCTCACACTTGTTATCAGAACTTCACAAGAAACTGAAATCATTTTCAGAGGTAGAATGTCCTCCACTGACAACAGATGTGTAAAACCACATATTCTGATTTCAAACAGCTCTGAGTGAAAAAGTGAAGTGAAACCACAGCAATGTCCACATGTGCACAAGACTTCCTTCACACACTGCCCTGACACATAGCGGAACCTCATGTGTGAACATTTTTGCCTGGCGATCCTTATGTCAGACTTTTTACACAATGGTGTTCTCTTTTTGTCCTTTTCAAAATGTCTCACAACTTTATGTGATTTTCAGTACCAGAGTTAAAACATTTTAAATCACATGTTATTTGCTCAGTGGTGCCCTGAGGGCTTAAGGCGTTGTAATTACCGCACAACATTAGTCTGTGTAACACAGTAAATCTGCATCATTCCTATTGTGTAATAAAAATCTGTTATATGGTCCGGGGACCGATACCGGTCCGTAGGCCATCACTTTTTTCATTTAAAGATAATCTGGCAATGTTTCAAAATAATTGGTCAGTCAGTCAGACACGATACTAAATAGGCACCATCAAACTTTAACAGCAAAGGTCCTGATACATTTGATGGATGGATGGATGAGATAGACAGACAGATAAGAAGCTAGAGAGATAGAAAGACAGATGCATAACAACAGCGTAATCACCGTTCTCTCACCTTACATACTTCCACAGTCCTACAATGCACCAATTGCTGTAAATCCCATTCAAATTCACTCCACATACACCCATTATTCTGCATGTGTACTTCCTCCCGACATGGACCTAAATTCACAGCAGGAACTATGACCACATCCCTCCTGGTTCACTCATGAGTGGGTCAGTCACAAACACATCACAGGTAGGGATCGAAGTAGAAACACTAGATACAGAACCGGCATCCTCATCAGAAGGAAGTGGCAGTCTGAAGTCATGGGCTCAGTCTGTTTCAAGTCTGACTGAAACTTCATGAAAACAATGAGGCTCCACACTGCATCTGTCTTCCATCATATGACTATGCAGCTTCTCTACTAACTTGTGAGCATTAACATTCACAACGTGTGTCTGCCTGCTCCACACTGTGGAATCCCTTCCAACTGTCAAATGTGCAGGACTCCTCCCTCATTGAGGAGGAACCAGAAGTTCACCTCTGCTCGCACAAATAAACTTTAGCTTCAGAGTTTTATTGCCTTTGTCTATGTTTACCTGTTGAGTTTGAGGGCGAAAGCCCGTCTCTCTGCGCTGCCCAGGGAAGCCATAAATGAGAGGCTGATGTCCAGCTAACAGTCGCGGGTTGTGTGCTCTTCTTCCTCTGCTCTGTCGCTGCTGATCCACACACGCATCTGCGCGGAGCCTAAGTCGTGAAGGCAGCGGCAGGTTTACTGGGTGTCAACTTCCGTGTTAGACTTAATCCAGAGAGAGAGAGAGAGTGAGAGAGAGAGAGAGAGAGAGAGAGGCCAAGCTAAATGGGACGAGTGCACGGGTTAATGACTTACTGACTGGTATTGAATGCACTTTTCCTACAAATGCTAATCTGTGTTTTGCAACTCATCTATTCTATTCTGTTCTATTCTATTCTAATCTAAATAATTGATTAATTATTGAATTATTGCATGCATTGGTTTGTTGTTGTTGTTGGAGAGACATCAATAGTTAAACTGTGTTGTTTCCATCGTATTTTTTAATACATGTATTTTGTAAACCGATGTCAAAACAAAATCTACAAAATCCAACGTTAATGTGGTTTCACCAAAAGGACTAAGAGATTGATGCCGCTCCCTTGTGGGCACTATACGTTATTACGTTACGTTTCGCCAATCGCTCTTGCAGTGCAAATCAACAACAATAAATATATTATAGCATCGTTGTTTTTATTTTTATAACGTGTGTGTGTCTATTGATTTAGAACTTACATATCCTTGCTTTTATAAAATATGTATTATTCTTAAAAGCGGAACTTTCGACACGGCGGCAAAATGTGAGCGGACACTGAACGCTGTTGCACGTTGTCAAAACGTAGAAGCACGAACTGTAGTGGAGTGCATAGGGATTAATTTTACACCATTGACATCGGGTAAGGACATATTTAAGTTTAATGCGAATTAATCACGTCGTTTGTTTTGCTATCAAGGGTTACAACTACAGTCTAGCTTTTCTACTTAATTTGCTTTGTATCTGTTATGCATAGGTATTTAAACAGTAGTTAAAATCTAGGAATGGACTGTGTGATGGTGTTTTCTACAGTAGGAAAGTGAACTACTTGTCATTGTGATACAGCACACCACTGCACACAACAAAATGTGACCTCTGCTTTTAACTCATCACCAAAGTGAACAGTGGGCAGCTTTGAACTGCTCAGGGAGCAGTGTGTGGGGACGATGCCTTGCTCAGAGCGCCTTAGTGGTAACTTGGCAGCTGTTGGATTCGAACCCAAGGTCCCAAGTCCGCTTCCTAAACCGCCACTGCTACAGTAGTTATCACTGATTCATCACTGTGTTCATTTGACTGAAAATGGCTTTAAGACACAAGTTCTCATAGGCTGTGTGTTGGTAACTAAACCCAATCTATTGTTCCAATTTCCAAGTTTCACTGAGCAGATAAATTATTGATCTTCTAGGCAACCAACTTCTGTCATGGATGGCGTGATGGTGGATGAGGATGATTGTCCAGAGCTGGTGCCTATTGATGTCCAGCCTGGTCCTTCTGGAGTACAGATACCTGTCACCATTATCACAGGTTATCTTGGTGAGACGCTGCCATATGTCCTGGTCACGTATTTTATAAGATTATAAAATGATTATACACTGGATTACAATCAGATAATACAAAGTCAAGAACCACTGACAAGAAAACACTGGACTGTATGGCCGGTATTCTCAGTAATAACACAAAAATAGCCTGTAGCAAATGTATATATATATATATATATATATATATGTATGTATATATATGTATATATATATATTTAATTTTTTATGGGGTGTCAAATCAATGCGTGACTTGGAATTAATTAATTTAGACACATTTAGAGCGTTTTGTTTTTTAATCGCGTTAATCAAATTTTTAATCTCTAACTTTGCTGTTGCTGTATGCGAGTAGCATTTTTTATAAAAATCCGTTTTTATGTATTGTGCTTGAGTTGTTGGGGGTGGAAAACAATGGTCAGTCACACCTGAAATGGACATTGATTGGCTGTCATTGTGTTTATGCTTGTTTAGCATAAACTGATAGGCTCCTATTGCGCTTGGGGGGACAGAGTAAAGAACGGTGAGGAGACGTGAAAAGGGAGGAGCGTGTGAGAGTTGTCCGTGTAATGCAGTGAATCCCAACCACTGTGCCGTGGCACACTAGTACAGTGGTGCCGCGAAAAATTATCCAATGTCCCAAAACTAGTATTTATTGCAAATAATTTTGGTGTTTGTCAAAGAGCAATGAAATCCTCTTCCACTAGGTGGCAGCAGATGGTTAATAAAACTAAGAAAATATTATCAGAGCTGTTGAAGAAGATCTTTGTGTCTTTCTTCAACTCCTGACAGTATATTAGCATTGTCTTCAACTTAACAGGAGTACATCTTTTAGTAAATTTAAACTAGAATCTTACTATATTTCATCATATATACTTTTTGTGAGATTTTGTTTGGTGGTGTGCCATGGGATTTTTCCTTATAATATATATATATGCTGTGGCCCAAAAATGGTTGGGAAACAATGGTCTAATGAACGGGAAATTTACATTTCAAAAACGTCCCGACGGCACCATCGATAAAGGTAGATTGATATGCCCATAAGCACCTCAAGTTTAGCATACCACATCAACGCAAAGCACCCAGTCGGGACTGCAGCCACAGCTAACATTAGCAGCCAAGACATTATCAATTTAGCGAGCCATAGCCAAGCTCTTTGCCAAACTAAACCTGAGG